AAAAAAAAAAACAAACCATAGTGCATTCCAAGTGATGGGCACATTTCAACTCCAGAGGGGTGGACGGGAAAGAAAGGCAGGCAAGAGTCGGGAGGCACCGGCCTGCTGTCCGCCGTGTCCCTGGAGCTCTTCCGTGTCTTTTTAACTAACATAATTCCATTACCATGAAATAATCTTTTACAAGTGGGATATTTTTAGCATATTCACAAAGTTGTGCAACCATCACCTCTATCTAATTCTAGAACATTTTCACCACCCCAAAAGAAGCCCCAGACCCATCGGCAGCCACTCATCTCACTTTGTCTCTGCAGATTTACTACCCTGAGTATTTCACTCCCACAGCACATTCATTCCGTGTCTGGCATATTTCACCGAGCACTATTCCACAGTCATCCACGGCGCGGCGTCATCAGTGCTTCGTTCGTGTTAGTGGCTGAATAACGTCCCTCACTAGGGACACGCTGCATTTTGTTTATCCATTTATCAGCCTTTAGCCAATAACCTTTGGCTGTTCTACAGAATGCTGCTATGAACACTGACGCACAGTTTTTTGTGTGGATTTAAGTGTTCATCTCCCTTGAGAGCACACCTATGGGTAGCTGTGCTGGGTCACATGGTAACCCCATGTTTACCCGTCTGAGGAACTACCGGGCTGCTTCTTCCAAAGCAGGTGCACCATCTAACATTCCCACCAGCAGAGTACAAGCGTTCTGGCCTCTCCATGTCCTCAACACCACCTGTGGTCACCTGACTTTTTCTTTTTTTTGAGATGGAGTTTTGCTGTCACCCAGGCTGGAGTGCAATGGCACAGTCTCAGCTCACTGTTGGGATTATAGGCATAAGCCACTGCACCTGGCCTTTTTTTTTTTGAGAATAGGGTCTCCTGTTGTCACCAAGGCTGGAGCACAGTGGCGTGATCACAGCTCACTGAAGCCTTCCACTCCTGGACTCGAGTAGTTCTCCCACCTCTGCCTTCTGAGCTGCTGGGACTACAGGCGTGCGCCACCATGCCTGGCTAATTCTGTGTTTTTAATTTTTTTTGTAGAGATGAGGTCTCACTATGTTGCCCAGACTGGTCTCCAACTCCTGGGCTCAAGCAGTCCTCCCACCTCGGCCTCCCAAAGTGCTGGGATTATAGAAAAGGAGGCTCTGATTTGCATTTCCCTAGTGACTGGTGGCATGGATCATCTTGCGGGGTGCTTGGCAGTCACTGAGACATCTTCCTTGGAGAAATATCTATTCCAAGT